GGCTCTCATGGGACACAGAGACTCTCCCGTTTATTATGTAACCTCCCGCCAGGATAATTCCCGTGTGCGCGCTTGGATTTCATTTGCTTAGCCATTTGCAGCATCACACTATATGAAGGGATGCATACCCCCCCCCATTGTCATTCCTAACAATATCCCTGTAGACCGTGGCAACGGACCTGTAATCAAATAAAGCATAACGTTTTCCTGTGGAGAGTTACTTGCTGTTGACCATGACACTCAAGCTCCACTGGACTGTTTTGGATTGCCTTAGCTCAGGAAGGACGGCTCCAGAGCAAACTAATTGATGCAGCAGCCAAACCGCTCGCTCACAGCTTGAATGCTCACAAAGTAGAATTTTTGCTCCCAAGACTCCGCAGCTTAGAGGGAGCATTGGGCAGGGGGTTGGACCAGATGGCCTGTATGGCCCCTCCCAACTCTGCAATTCTGTGATTCTATGATTCTATATCATGTTGAGATGGATTTTTTTTAAAAGTCTTATTTTATCAATGAAACGGGCCAGTCCTTGGCTGCAGACTTCCAGCCCCCCCCCCCCCCCCCCCCCCACCCCAATGCTCCCTCTAAGCTGTGGAGTCCTGTGAGCAAAAATTCTACTCTGTGAGCTACCGGCATTCAAGTGGTGAGCGAGCGATTTGGCTGCTGCGTCAATCAGTTTTCTCTGGAGCCCTCCTTCCTGAGCTAAGACAAAAATGTGTGAGCCAGAGGCTACAAAACTGTGAGCTGGCTCACACTAACTCAATCCACGGTTTTATGAAGAAGTAATGGCAAACCACCTCTGCCTTGAAAACCCTACAGGGTCACCATAAATTGGTGAATCTACACACACACACACACACACACACACACACACACACACACAATATCCAGTTTGGACCTTGAATGGGCAAAGTCCACCCAAACAGCCTTGCTAACTCAACCCCCTGTCCCTCCCGGGTCTGCGTCTTGGGAGCATTAACGTTCGAAGCGGTCACGGTTCCAGATTCAACTGCCCAGGCACAGAAGACCTCAGAGCAGTGGGCTCCCCCCACCTCAAAGGGGGAGAAAGAGGCAATTAAGAGAGCGGCACACTGAAAGCGTTCCGTGTGCCTTGGTGTTTAGTCATGCCGGCCACATGACCACGGAAGCGTCTTCGGACAGCGCTGGCTCTTCGGCTTGGAAACGGAGATGAGCACCGCAACCCTAGAGTCGGACTCGACTGGCTTTCGAACAAGGGAATTTTTACCTTTTATCTTTACACTGACCTGGACGGCCCAGGCTAACCTGATCTCATCAGGTCTCAGAAGCTAAGCGGGGTCGGCCCTGGTTAGGACGTGGATGGGAGACCAGCAACAGAAGTCCCGGATTGTTCCACAGAGGCAGGCGACGGGCAAACCACCTCCGCAGGTCTTTGGCCTCAACCTCTCCCAAGGGCTGCGACTTGACTTTCCACCCCCAACAGAGCACCATCACACCACAGCTGCGTTTAAGCTTCGCATTGCCAGCCACCCCCCAGTGGCAGTGGGGTTCCCCTGATTTTGCCCCCCCCAACTACAGGCTGGCCAGCTGGCCAGTGGGGGAGCCCCACCCCCAAAGGTCCCTGCCTGGTGCGATGACATCATTCTCTGGGCATGTTGTACAGGGGACACGGTAGCATTTGGCTAAAAACTCCATGGTGACCATAGAGGGGTTTTTTTGACAAATGCTAGAGCGCCCCCTGTATAACGTGTCCAGAGTAATGACGTCGCTTCCAGGAGAAGACCCCGGGACCAAGCCGGGAGCCCCCCACCAGCAGATGGATAAGACCTGGCAACCCTACTTCAGCTTCCCTTCAACAGTGAGCGACGGTGCTTCCCTTCTGTGGCACAACAGAGCCTCTAGCATCAGGGGTGGGGTTCTCACGCCAGAGGAACACATTACAAACCAGGAGGTCCCTGGTGCAAATCACACCTCTGCCTTGGACTCACTAGGTAACCTCAGACGAGCCACCGACACGTACCGACCTACTCTGCATGGTTGTTGTAAGGTCACAAAACACCGGTTTGGACCCGGCTGGCTTCTTCATCCAGTCTCTCCCAGTTCTGCTGTTTACTACAACCTCCGTCCCACACGGCTTTTGTCTGTGCAGTCCCCATGATTGCAGCACAGTTTTGGGGGGTTGGTCAAACATAGGGTTCCCCCCAATTTGGGGAGCTTCCATCCGCTACCGGCCAAACAGGGACGTCGGCCAGCGACTTCCCCGGTGCGATGACGTCACCCGGAAGTGACATCATCGCAATGGGGCCATCGGGGGGTGATGCTCTAGTTTTTGGGCGAACTCTACGGGTTTTGAAGGGGGAAAAAAAACCATTTGAGTTTTGCCCAAGGACTAGAGCAGGGGTGTCAAACGTGCGGCTCGGGGGCCGGATCAGGCCCCCAGAGGGCTCTTGTCAGGCCCACAGTGGAACTGGCTGTCTTCTGCGCCTTCTTCCAGTTCTGCTGCAGCTGCGCCCTCGTAGGTTTGCCGTTTACAGATACACACCTGAACAGCATACTCAAGATTGCAACAGCACAGACATTTTGATGCAGTAATTCAGAGCAGGAGGTGTCCATGATCAGACACTGTTAAAGAAACGAAATATTGCAAGAGGGCTAATGTTTTAAGCAGGTTTTTATTTTAAGTAAAAACCCTTTGTGTCCTTTATAAAGTTTATATCTCCGCTAGCTGGCATTACCTTTTATGACACAAGTGGCCCGGGCCAACAAGGTCTCATTTACGTCAAATCCGGCCCTCATAGCAAATGAGTTTGACACCCCTGAACTAGAGTGTCACCCCTGACGTCCCCATTTGATGACGTCATGTCCGGGTGACATCATCTCCCGGAGGGGGCCCCCCCCCGCCGCCGGCAGCTGGTAAGGACCTGGCAACCCTCTTTTTTTATCAGCCCTCCCTTTTTTGATCGGCATTAAAGCTGGTTCAATCCAAACCAATGCATGGAGAACACTTGGAAGCACAATGTCAATAGAGCTTGTTTTAGTAGAATCCCTGTGGTGCAGCAGTGCTTTCGGTCTACAAAGCAAAAGCTCTGCCATTAGGCAACAGCCCCGCTCCCCTGTTCCC